AGGCGTGGTAGCGCGCACCTGTAGTTCCAGTTACTTGGAAGGCTGAGGCAGAAGGATCACCAGAGCCCAGCAGGTTGAGGCTGCGGTGGCTGGGAGAGGCCACTGCACTCCAGGCTTGGCGACAGAGTGAGACTCCAACTCAAAAACAAAAAAAACAAAAAACTCGGGGCCCACTGAACCTCATAGCTTCTGGCACTATCAATTCCTCAGTGAACACAAGGCTCCGCAGAAAAACTCTTGGCAGGGAAGTTGATAACAACTGAGCACAGAGAAAAATAGGAAAGTGTATATGGTGTTAGTTTTCTAATAATAATGGGTATTCCTTCATAGGAATGTCGAGAATTTATTGAAAGGATGAATAAGTACCCATGTGTATAGAAAATATTTGCTGAGTTTCTTTTTCGTTTCTTTCTTCCTTTTATTAATTTCCAAATTATAGTTGATATCTGAATGTTGCTGGAAGCCATTTATCTAGTGTCCCACATATAAGAAGCCCTAGCTGTGTTTTTTTGTTGTTGTTGTTAAGGCTAAAATTCTTTCTAAAGACTTTGCCAGACAGTGACTCACGCCTATAATCCCAGCACTTAGGGAGGCCAAGGAAGGAGGATTGCTTAGCACAGGAGTTTGAGACCAGCCTGAGCAACATAGTGAGACCTAGTCTCTACAAAAAATTTTAAAAATTGACTGGGCATGGTGGCATGCACCTGTAGTCAGCTACTTAGGAGACTGAGGAGGAAGGTTCACCTGAGCCCAGGAAGTGAAGGCTACAATGAACCGTGATTGTGCCACTGCACTCCAGCTTGGGTGGCAGAGTGAGACCCTGGCTCACACACAAAAAAAACTTTGTCAAAACTATTAGATTTCACAGTCTTCACTAGTTTAATATAAAAATTTTAAATATTATATAAATGATAGAGAAGAAACTCAGAATGATTTAAATGTATAATTTTAAGAAACATGAAATTAATTCTTCATCTTATCAATTCCATAAGACAAATCTTATGTATTGAGTTAAAAGAAGAGATAAAGGCATTTTTTGCTTCAGCTAGAAGTATTTAATCCCAAATGTGTATAAGTATGTTATATATAGCTTATTGGTAAATAGCATAAAAATTTGGTTTGGTTTTCTCATTTTAATATTTGCTTATTTGATGATCAGATGATAGCTTCTGTAAACTATACTTGTTACCTGGTTTTTCCCCCTTAAACTCTGATACTTGCTTGCACGTTAGGTGGGTGTTCCTGCTGCTTTTGACATGATACTTACTGGCAGAAACATTCGTGCAGACAGAGCGAAGAAAATGGGACTGGTTGACCAACTGGTGGAACCCCTGGGTAAGTGTTAACATGTCTCAGAATTGGGCCTTGTAAAATTACTTATTTTCTTAAAGAGTTAGTCTGTTAGAGTGAAATTCAAACTCCTAAGAAATGAGTTATCATTCTAAGGAGTGAAGTTTTCTAAAATGGCTAATATTAAATTATTTACAACATCATCCTGATTACTATTTTTTTTTTTTTTTTTGAGTTGGAGTATTACTCTATTGCCTCGGCTGGAGTGCACTGGCACACTCACAAGCATCGTAGCCTTGACCTGCAGGGCTCAGGTGATCCCTCCTCCTGGAAGGCATATGCCATCACACCCAGCTAATTTTTCTTGATTTATTGTAGAGATGAGCTCTCACCAAGTTGCCTGGGCTGGTCTTAAACCCGTAGACTAAGGCAGTCCTCTCACCTTGGCCACCTGTTTTACTTTTTTTATAATTGGAATATCAGGAGTATAGAATTCAATCAAGTCATTATTTCTTGCTCTTTAATTACGTATATCATTATTCATGCATAACTCTCGGTTTTTTGTGTCTGTTTTAATAATATGATAAATTAAGCAACCAACATGAGAATAGTAACAATAACTGACATCTACTGATATGCTTACTCCCCATATAATTTCTTTGCCTCCTTGTATTTAAGAAAACCACTATTCTGAGTTGTGTGTTTATCACCCTAAATTTCTTAAAAACCAGCATTATTGAGATAGTTATATAATAATACATTTGCTGATTTTTAATGTAAATTTTGAATTTTGTAAACACTACCACAATAAAAAAAAATAGACCATATCTGGTATTTGGGTTTTTTTCCCTTCTTTTATTTAGCGTAATGCTTTTCTTTTTTCTTTTTTTTGAGTCGGAGTCTCACTCTGTCGCCCAGGCTGGAGTGCAGTGGCATACTCATGGCCACTGCAGCCTCCACCTGCTGGGCTTAGGCGATCCTTCCTCCTTATCCTTCCAAGTAGTGGGAACCACAAGCTTGTGCCACCAACCCAGCTAATTTTTTATTTATTGTAGAGATGAGGTCTTGCCAAGTTGCCCAGGCTGGTCTCAAACCCAAGCATAATTCTTTTGAGATGCATCCATGTTGCAACCTCCTTCTTATTACTGAGGTTTATTCCTTAATATAAATATACTATAGTTTATCTATTCACGAAATGATGGACATTTGAGTTGTTTCCAATTTGGGGCTATTCTGAATAAAGCTGCTATGAACTCATCCACAATTTTTATGTAGATATATGTTTCACAGAAATTTGGATAAATACTGAAGTATGGATTGGCTGGCCCATATAATAGATACATATTCGCTTTATTAAAAAAATTTTTTTAGAGATGGGGTCTTGCCATGTTACCCAGGCTGACCTCAACTCCTGGGCTCAAGCAATTCTCCCACTTCAGCCGCCTGAGTCGCTGGGATTACAGGTATGTTTCACTATGCTGGGCTAGATATGTGTTAGTTTTTCTGACAAACTGTTTTCCCAAAGTGATTATACCATCTTGCATTCCTACCAGCAGTGTATGAGGGCTCTAGTTACCAACCACTTTTCATGATCAATTTTTTTTTCTTTTTTTGAATCGGAGTCTCACTGTCATACAGGCTGGAGTGCAGTGGCATGCTCATGGCCACCGCAGCCTCGACCTACTGGGCTCAAGCAATCCTTCCACCTCAACCTTTCAACCTTCTAAATAACTGGAACTACAGGCATGCACCACAATGCCTGGTTAATTTTTGATTTATTGTTGAGATGAGGTCTTATCAAGTTACCCAGGCTGGTCTCGAGCCTGTGGGCTCAGGCAATTCTCTCACCTCAGCCTCCCAAAGTACTAGGATTATAGTCATGAGCCACTGTGCCCAGCCTTTTTTTTTTTTTAAAGTCAGAGTCTCACTCTGTTGCCCAACTGAAGTGCAGTGGCACAATCACAGCACACTGCAGCCTCGACCTCCTGGGCTCAGCCCCAGTCCTCCCACCTCGGCCTCCCAAGTAGCTGGGACTACAAGCACATGCCACCATACCTGGGTAATTTTTTTGATATTTGGTAAAAATGAGGTCTTGCTATGTTGCCTAAGCTGGTCTCAAACTCCTGACCTCAAGCAATCATCTTACCTCGGCCTCCCAAAGGATTAGAATTACAGGCACGAGCTACTGCACCCAATCTTTTTAATTTTATACATTGTAATAGGAATGTAGTTATATTTTATATTTAAATTTATATTATATTTCCCTAATCACCAAAAATATCGAGTCTCTTTCATGTATTTATTTGTCTTCTGTATATCTTCTTTGGAAAAGCATTCAAATCCTTTTCTCATTTTGTTTGAGTACGTTGTTTTTCATACTGAGTTTTCAGAATTTTTTGTATATCAGGATACAAGTCTTTTATCAAATAAGTGATTTGCAAGCATTTCCTTCTAGTCTGTGGCTTGTCTTTTCACCATATAAGTGCAGAAATTCTTAATTACGGTTAAGTTCAATTTATCAAGTTTGTCTGTTTTGGTTCATGCTATTGGTGTGGCATCTAAAAAATCTTTTTCTAATTCAAGATTACAAAGATTTTCTTGTATGTGTTCTTCTAGATGTTTCCTAGTATTTCCAATATTTACTCTAGTATTTTGACTCATAATCTGTTTCAAGTTTGCATATGATGTTAGGTAAGGATTGAGGGTCTTGTTCTTTTGTTTTGTATATGGTATCAAAATGTCCTGGTACATTTGTTTAGAAGACTGCTCTTTCCCCAGTGGACTACCTGGAACCTTGGTCAAAAATCAACTGATCTTATCTGTTTGGGTCAATAATCTGGATTTTCTATTTCTAGTTATCTATATGTGTTTCCTTAAGCAAATATTATACTGTCTTGATTATTGTATTTTTATAGTGCATCTTGCAATCAGGCAATATTAGTCCTCCAACTTGGTTCCCTTTCAAAATTATTTTGTTCATACTAGTTCCTTTGCTTTTGCATAGAAATTGTATAATCAGCTTGTCCATATCTACAAAAATACCTGCCAAGATTTTTATTGGCGTTGCATTGAATCAATATGTCAATTTGAGGAGAATTGAAATCTTTAAAACATTGAGTCAGTTCATCCATGAACATGGTAAAGCTCTCTGTTTATTTATGTCTTCAAATTTCTCCCAGCAGTGTTTTTACTTTTCAGTGAACACATCTTGCACACATTTTGTTAAATTTATACCTAGATTTTTTTTTTTTTTTTTTTGAGTTGGAGTCTCACTCTGTCACCTAGACTGGAGTGCAGTGGCCGCTTCCGGCCACCGCAGCTTCAACTTGCGGGGCTCCCGCGATCCTTCTGCCTCAGCCTTCCAAGTAGCTGGAACTACAGGTGCGCACTACCATGCCCAGCTAATTTTTTGATTTATTGTAGAGATGAGGTCTTGCCAAGTTGCCCAGACGAGTCTCGAACCCGCAGGCTCAGGCAATCCACTCACCTCAGCCTCCCAAAGTGCTGGGATTACAGGCTGAGCCACCGAGCCCGGCCTATACCTAGATATTTCATACTTTTAGACCATCATACTTTTTTACTTTAATTTCTCATTATTAATTCCAAGTATATGGAAATACAATTGGACTGGGAGTACTGGCTCATACCTATGATCCCAGCACACTAAGTGGCTGAAGCAGGAGAATCTCTTGAGACCAGGAGTTTGAGACCAGCATGGGCAACATAGCAAGACCCCATCTCTACAAAAAATTTAAAAACTTAGCTGGGTGTGGTGGCATATACCTGTAATCCCAGCTACTTGGGAGGCTGGGGTAAGAGGATTTCTTGAACCCAGGAGATCAAGACAGCAGTGAGCTGTGATCAAACCACTGCACTCCAGCCTGGGTGACAGAGTAAGACACTGTCTCAGAAATACAATTGGTTTTTGGGTATGGATCTTGTATTCTGTGGTTTTGTGAAACTCATTTACTAGATATAGTAGCCTTTTTTGTAAATTTCTACATAGATAATTATGTCATCTATAAAGACAGTTTGGCTTCTTCCTTTTCATTAGTGGTGCCGTTTCTTTCTTTTTCTTGACTTACTGAATAGCCAAGACCTGTGTACAATATTGGGTAGAAATGGTAAAAGTAGATTTTGTTAACTTGTTCCCAATCTTAGAGGGAAAGCATTCATTAATAAGTATGATGTTAGTGTAGGTTTTTCATATATATTCTTTATCATATATGAAGACATTGAAGAAATTCCCTTTTATTTATCATTTGCTGAGAATGGGTGTTGAATTTTATCAAATGCCTTTTCTGCATCTACTGTGATAATTGTGGTTTCTTCAATTTTTAAATTCTATTAGTAATGTCAGTTACACTATTTTTTGAATATTCAACCAGCCTTGCTTCTTGGAATGAACTCTACTTGATCATGATATGTTATCCTTTTTATAAATTGCTGTCTTGATCAACTAAAATGTTACAAAGGATTTTTTTGTCTGGTCATGAGAGATAAGGTCTCAGGGATAATTTCCTTTTCTTAGGATATTTTTGCCTGGTGTTGGTATCAGGGTAATGCTGTCTTCATAAGATGAATTGGGAAATGGGAAATATTCCTTCCTCTTGTATTTTCTGGAAGATTTGTGTAGAATTGGTTTTATTTCTTACTTAAATACCTGATAAAATTAACCAGTGAAGTCATGGGCTTATAGTTTTCTTTGATGGGAAAGTTTTTTTGGTTTGTTTGTTTTTTGAGTAGGTGTCTTACTCTGTCGCCCAGGCTGGAGTGCAGTGGCACGCTCACAGCCACCGCAGCCTCGCCCTACTGGGCTAGGTGATCCTTCTGCCTCAGCCTTCCAAGTAGCTGGAACCACAGGTGTGTACCACGCCTGGCTAATTTTTTTGTTTATTGTAGAGACGAGGTCTCGCCATGTTGCCCAGGCTGGTCTCCAACCACTAGACTCAGGCAGTCCTCTCACCTCCGCCTCCCAGAGTGCTGGGATTACAAGCATGAGCCACTATGCCCAGCTTGCTGGGAAAATTTTTACCTATGAATTC